AGTGTGGGATTTTACCTGACTCACATGTTGTACTTAAGACACACACACACACACACACACACATCCTTTAACACCTGACAACCTTATTATAGAAGACCAAAACTACCCTCCAATGACGCTTTACAGAAAGAACACACTCCAGGTCTCGTTGGCGCTTGTTATTACAAATACAAACGTAATTCTTTTCATCACTATGGAAGTATTAACACACAAAAACAGCATTAAAGTCAAAGGTAGCAGACAGACAGAGACACACACACACACAAGAGGCAGGGACCCTTAGAGTACTAGTGAAATGTAATCAGCATCGCCATCGTTATTGTACCATCACTCATTTGTCGTCATAATGATACCTTTGTAAAAATAAGTTACCCTAAATCTTTTTCTCTTATCACTCTATAAGTTTATCAAATTACATATTCTAAAATCTGGATAACACGTATTCTTAGATACTGAAGGGTGAGCGAGAACCTGTCATGAGCTGTATTTAATTAACACGGGAGTGGTTGACGTCTATGGAAAAACCCTCTCCCTTCTTAACCTCTCAACGGATCACTGAATAGGCGTAAATGTACAGGGTATTTCTCCTTGTTGTGGTAGTGATGTCCTAGATTTCTCTACACGTGTCTTGCATCACTTTCTTATTCCTTCACTTCCCTTGAGCTTTCTTTATCTTTTGATTCAACGTAAACTCGGGTAAGAGAGGAGTACAGATAATAAACAGACGGATATTAGGTCCAAGGACGTTTCATCTTAGCTAACATATTATTATTATGGACATGGCATGGTTAGGTTAGATTATAGAATGAGTTTAAGGACGTTTTAATAATATCCTTCCATTATCTGACTGTGATTTCTAATTCTTATACACAGGCATTCAAGGTTCAATTTACATGTTTATACAGTACCAGTGTTGATTATCCACTGGTGTTTTTATTCTGAAAGGTAGCATTCGATGCTTTTTTCCTTCTCTTCTTTTTTATTTTTTTTATTTTTATTTTTTTACGGGGATTAACCCACCCGGGCACAGGTCGCTGACCCACATCGGGGCCTGGGGGCGAAAATGTAATAATAATAATAATAATAATAATAATAATAATAATAATAATAATAATAATAATAATAATAGTAATAATGAAATACAAAAATGAAAAAAAAATCAAAAGTGAGAAACAATACTGTACATGTACAGTATGTTGTGTTATCAAAGTAAGAGACCCAATTGAGACCCTGCAATTGGGTGTAAACGAGGCAGAAGTTAGATCAGCAACCTGGAACTTAGTCACGATTTTCGTGATGCCATATAGCAGCAACACATTATGCTTCTAATATCTTCCCAGGCGGTAGTACCTCCCTACTTGGTAGCAGCTTACTACCTGTCTTGTTTGGTGAGCTCGGACATGTTTGCTGGTGTAATCGCTCGATTGTTGATTTTATATGTTGGTGGATGACATCACTATAGTTGTTGTGATGGATGACCATACAGGGTTTTAATTTGTACCTACATACTGTTTAGATATATGAACGTACTTATGAACAATCATATTTGTTCCCACAAAAATGTAAATTTTACTCACATTATGAATCTTTTCTTTTTTTCATAATCAGTTATATCAATTCTCGCATCAACAGTTACGAGCAAAATTGAACGTATAAACATTTGAGACTGAACCCTGAATGGTGTCAGTACTGAAATGACTACCATAACCGGGATCGCTCTTATATTCTCAAATCCAGTGCCGGATTTAGACCTGTGGAGGCCCATGGGCAGCATCTTTGTGGAGGCCCCCCTCATTATAACTACCCAAGAGGGTGGGGTGGCGAGTGAAGCGAGCCTAAACATCTGGGAGTTCCGGGGGGCGCTGTAAGCCCCCCGGGAAAATTTTGAAATTTGAACACTTCTTTGGAGAATTTTGAAGCCATATGCAGTTATATTGAGGAAATTAGAACATATTGTAATATGTGGAGGCCCCTGGGCAGCTGCCCACTTTGCCCACTCCTGAATCCGGCCCTGCTCAAATCCTGGAACAACAATTAACATTTAAAAATTTGTGAACCCGGCTAAGATTTGAGAAAAATCCAGCGAATTTGTGAGTGAGTTACCGGTGCTACTGTCAAACGTGACCTCAAAACACTCTGCAGCGCACACACACAAAACCAACACAACAGTAATGTAAGCAACTCTGTTGCAGTCATCCGCCATTTCACGGGAACTCATGAATGTAAAAAAATTTGTCATTTCCGTCATTGAGTGTCAGTCCCTTCACTACGGGGACGCCAAAAGATTTTATTCAGCTCAAAGGCGGCACTGTACACAGGGGGTTAAGAAGAAACATTTAGTCACTGACAACTTTTAAACACAAACAAATGGGCCTCGGTGTATTTCAGACATTAGTTTTGCCACCAACCTTGCACTGTGCCTTAGCAATATTTCAAGTGTATTCACAGATCTCTAGTTTGAGGGCTAGATTTACTTACGAATCTATGATGAATGTTTTTGTGTTGAAACACCAGAGACCAGACCTCAGCCAGAGCAGACATGCGAACAATTTGGGAGCAGGTGAAAGTTGTGAGGCTCTATACCCCAGCTTCCACTCTTGAGAAGCTAAACCTCCTCGTCCTGACGAGGTATTTTTACTTCTTCGAGTATAGAGGGGGTTACGAAAGTTGTCCATCGGCCGAATGGTAGTTTTTTGGTTACCTTGGTGACTGGGGACAGTCTGAACAATTGAAGGAAGTAACAAGCATCAATGACATGCTCGTTAAGGTGGAGGTCAGGCTCGTCGACTAGAGCCCACAAACATCCCATAAGATCTGATTTAAGGTGAAACACAAAAACTTTTAACTACAGGGGTGCGCTCCTCAAAGTGAGGAGAAACCAGAAAAAAGATCCGGAACAAGAAAAACAACGAGAACAAGAACAGCAAAAACCAGAAGAATAAGAACACTAAGAAAAACAAGAAGTGTGGAAAGTGTCAAATAATAACAAGAGAAAGAGATCCAACTAACAAGTTTATGGCCATAACAATCGATGCCGTTGACGGCCAGGGAAATTAAACACACACCAACAACAGTATGGTAAACTATTTTAGCCAGCCGGCGTTCTTGCATCACCAGTCCGCTGGAAAATAACAAACGAATCGATGCTCTCATAATAGCGAGTTTGAAATATCAATATTAGGTGAGTACGTAAAGCATTTTTCGTTCAGTAGTTTCTGCAGTCTTATAAAAATTTGGGCATTATTTTGGTCGCTGTATCAACATCATCTAAACTAAGTAAACCAACAGAAGCGTTACCATATATCCTGTTGCATGTGAACCTTGGAAAGCAACAATAGTCACTAGCCGCGTGCGGGGAAAACCTGGGAGTGGCAACCTTCATACATGACCTTCACTCTCCCTTCACTCTACCTCCCTTGATCTAAACTTTACGTTGACGCTAGACGCGGCTAGAGAGTGACAAGACGGCAATTTCTCACTATTTTCACAATCACTTTATTTCCACTCGTTCATGAAATCCCGTAAAAAATTTCGTAGTCACTGACATTCGTCGTTCCTTCGACAAAGTAGTGGAAAAGTTTATTGTAAAAAAAAATGTCATCTTGACCTACTTCGTTGGGGAACCGATGTTCACTTTTTTACTTTTATCCTCTTCGCCAATGAGCAACTGTTAGCCGCTTGGGCGGTCGGTCACATCTCTTACGCACTGTTGGCAAGTACTGGGCATAAACTGGCTTCTGGATATACAGTAGCTGTACCTGCTCCAGTGTTAGTCGAGCCTGAACTTGAAAGAGCCCACACTGGCAGATTGTTCCAAGAGTTCACAACTCTCACTCCGAAAAAGTTTGCCCTCACAGTTTTCTGGGCTTGATAATTCTTCAATCTTGAGCTGTGACCTCTAGTGGGGCGGGAGTCAGCCAGTTCCAGGCATGACACTTGACTGAATAGTACCCTCTGAGATGTTTGTAAACTTCAATTAGGTCACCCTTTGCCCATCTATAGTATAAGCTAGGCAATTGCAGACGTTCTAATTTCCCTGGGTAACTGAGGTGTCGTAATACAGGCACCAGTCTGGTGACCCTCCTTTGGTGAGTTTGTACAATGAATCCAAAAATATACTTAGCTGGCTGACTTGAGCTAAAACACAAAAATATTGTCCAAGAATAACAACAATAACAAGAGATATGATAGAAGTATTTAAGTGGGTGAAAGGAATCAATAAAGGGGATATAGATAAAGTTCTTATAATATCCAAGCAGGATAGGACTCGTAGCAACGGATTTAAGTTGGATAAGTTTAGGTTTAGGAGGGAGATAGGAAGGAACTGGTTCACAAATAGGGTGGTGGACGAGTGGAACAAGCTTAGCAACTTTGTAGTAAGTGCTGGAATGTTTTAAAAGGAGGCTAGATAGATTCATGGATGATAGAGAGTGGTAGTAACTCTCGACAGGAGCTGCCATGCACAGGTCAACCGGCCTATTGCAGACTCCTTATTTTCTTATGTTCTTATGTTAACATAATAAATGGCTTTACCTTCATAGTACCATTTAGGGTACAGTTGCCTGGCTTATACTATTAAATGACCGGGAGTGATATAATAGAAGTATATAAGCACCTCAAAGAACAGAAAAATTTAACTATAAAACTCTTGTAAAATACACGCTCTTTCAACCGTCGCAGCCAAACCCAAATTATTCATGAAATTCAGGAGCTGGAGACAGACTAATTAAGCCTCATCCAAAATGTCATCTGTGAAGTGATCATATCTGGAGGCTGCCTCGCTAGAGGTTACAACCTCAAGTTAAAGCCACAAGTATAGAAAATTGCTGGAGTTAACTTTTACTGAGTATATTGGAGTACTTGCCATCAGAAGTGGCCGACTTCCCCACCGGCTAAAACCGGCCAGTGGCAGATGATAAAGTTAAAGGGCACAAAATTAAATAGTTGTTGTAAGAACCTCCGAGAACTGACATACATCAAGTGGAAGAAGCAATACTTACGAAGAGCCCGACGGCTAATACGAAGACAAAGTAGACTACGATCACCACCACGTCAGGCCAGTCCAGTTTCGATCCTTCATCCTGTGGTGGGAGGGGCGACACTGTGCTGCTGACGTCCGTCATGATGTCTGTCACCAAGGGCACAATAATCCCAGAGACAGATCACCTCAAGATCTATCTCCGTCCTTTCCTGCAGCAAGAGGTAATGTTAAGAAGCGCCACCTTAAAACTTCGATTTCTCCAACACGTCGCACGTACTTACAGGCCACTTACAGAAACGGACTCCTTGGTTATTTTTTTATTTTCTATTGTATATTTTGGTAAACATATTAAAATAGTATAAAAATATTGCAACAATATAATTTATTAAAACTTAAAATAGGTACTAAGATATTAAGAAAGCTCGTGACGACTGGCAACTTGAAACAAAGCATAACGCAAGAGGGAAAAATACGTATAAGCAATTCCTCGGGTGGACACGAGCTATTGTCGAGGTAAATACAACTTTTCTACGATACACAAGTCTTTAAAATTTCTATATGACGAGCACAGGAAAATGTGGAAACTGATAATGAGCACCACTACTGCACCAGTACTCATTCCACCTCAACACGAGCTAGGATGGGACCGGGTGTTGATGAGCAGGTGTTCCATGCACCTAAAATCATACACCGATATTCTCTATTAATATGCTGTAGGCAGGGGAGTATGGGTAATAGAGAACTTGTACTCAAAGGGAGGTTTTATGATTCGTAAACTACAAATATAAACACACTTCAGGTTCAAAACAGGTTATTAAGGTGGCGCCATTTAGCTATGACAAAACCCAACAAGTTTCTCCAGATCCTAGTTAAGCGATAAAGTAAGGTCCCATACGTCATAGGTGGGAAACGAAGCACATCCTACCTCAACCACAGTCAACAGCACACTGCCGCCTGTAACCACACCTCAAGCTCCACAACTCATCCGACTGCCTCCAGTACATCTGGTGTTCGTGCTCCGAGAAAATTGTGTGTCAATGATGCTTTGATGGTACGATAACCTGCTGTAGTATTTTTGTTTTTAATTTTGAGTGTCATTATATGTCTGATATTTGAATGTTAACTATTTAAGTACGCATATACAGGTCAAATATTTGAAAGTTTTGTAATTTGCGTATCACAAAAAACTCATTTCCTATTTTTTTTAATTATAAAGTACAAGAGAACGGGTATAAGTACTGTACTTTTACAGGTTCAAGTAGATATGGGTACAAATACAGGTACAAGTGAAGGTAGAGTTGTTACATTACGCAAATGTAGGTTGGCTAGGAAAATAAATAGTCCTATAACAAGTTTTAATCTCAAAATATGACAGATGATGGGTTTGGTCGTTTCAATGGTGCTGTTAGTGCCGTCTGTGTAGACATTTATGCACGTCGATCGTAACTTGAGAAAATACTTTCTCTTAGTATGAGCACAGCCAAAAGCCCGGGGCCTATACAGTACAGTACTGAACCTACATTGACTATAATCTTGCTGAATTGTATAACTGAATAGTCTGTAAACATGTATGACAATTTTACTGAATAAACATCATTATCGTCTACAGAAGTACATGGCGCTATGTGTCGCGGGACTGGCTCAGCCAATCAGGTTCGATCACCGAGGTGACCAAACTCGATCTTGGCGGGCGGCGCTGGTCACAGTACCTGTTCCCAGGGTCACAAGGCACTAAACTTTCTCTGAGTGAAGAGGCGAGGGTCTGAAACTGCATTTCGCCCTCACTATAAATAAAATTTTAATGCTAAACATTCATATTTCTTGGTCTTCATTATTGTAATTAAATTGAATGTTTTTCATATACAGTTAGGTAAAAGTTTTTGTTTCATTCATGACGTCATTTACCCTTTAAACTACCATGTATGGCTGTATGCTTAAATCGAGTTAGGTTGAGTTAGTAATGATGTTATTTATTTATCATTTTTATTTTGATTGCGCACATAATCGACTGTATATACAGACCATTAAAAAAAAAAAAAAAAAAAAAAAATATATATATATATATATATATATATATATATATATATATATATATATATATATATATATATATATATATATATATATATATATATATATATATATATATATATATATATATATATATATATATATATATATATATATATGCTGATAACCACAAGGAAAGAAGAAAACACGAAGTTCCCAAGCGCTTTCGTGTAATTCACATCTTCAGGGGTGAGTACAGACTAAGGAGAAGTACAAAACAAGGTGTATAGACACAGAAGAGGGTGAGATCAAGTCCACAATGGTCAGGTATTAGGTAATGACCCTACTAATCTTTAAATAGCACACAACGGTTGGTGGTCAGGTCAGATGGTAAGGTGACCCGACCTTCTCACCTGGTTACAAATCTTCTTAATTACAAAATTGTCCAGTTTGTACAAGCCATTACTCAAATTCATGTTGGATGCTTCGGTATGTTTAATAAGACTAGATTCTATGATGTTCCTACTATCTATTGAATTACAAGGTAATATTGAGGAGGCATTATCCCAGTCAATGCAATGCTTGTTATCCCTCAAATGAACAAACAGAGCATTGGATTCTTGGCCTATCCTAACACTATTGTTTTGTTTAATTCTAGTTGCAAGATCTTTACCTGTCTGGCCTAAGTAAAACATATTACATTCCTTGCAAGGAACTTTATAAATGCAACCAATTGTGTTGTTAGGGGAGTTCTTGATTAACATTTGTTTAACAGTGCATGAGTTTTTAAATGCCACATTGACGTTCCAGGTTTTTAGTTGTGAAGGAATGTGAGAAATTTTTGTGAAATGGTAATATTAAGATATTCTTATGGTCATGGGTGGGCTTGGGATCAGTTCTATAAAAAGCTTTCTTAGTAATGTTTCGGCATTTGTCTATGAAAGATCTAGGGTATTTATAGAAAACCAACTAATGTGTGTTCATACATTCATTATTATTCTGCCCACCATAATAAAGTCAAACAGTCAGTATTTTCAACAATGTTTTTACGTGCTTTGAGAATTTGCAGTCGGGAATTCATTGATGAGGAATACAAATATATATATAATATTGGCTCAAACCTTAAATACCCTAGATCTTTCATAGACAGTGATTTACTTGCATATATATATATATATATATATATATATATATATATATATATATATATATATATATATATATATATATATATATATATATATATATATATATATATATATATATATATATGCTGATAACCACAAGGAAAGAAGAAAACACGAAGTTCCCAAGCGCTTTCGTGTAATTCGCATCTTCAGGGGTGAGTACAGACTAGAGAGAGTAATACAAATCAAGGTGTATATATACAGAGGAGGGTGAGACCAGGTCCACAATGGTCCAGCAAGACCCATCATTAGCTCAGTTGGGTCAATCTCTTATAAACTATCTAAATGGTTAGTTACTTTACTAAATCCCCTAGTTGGCAACATTTCTAACTCCAATATCAAGAATAATACGGATCTGGTTGATAAACTCAATAACTTACACATTAATCATGATTTTAAACTGGTCAGCTTTGATGTAACGTCACTCTTTACAAAGGTCCCAGTTGATGATTTACTAGAGTTCCTCATAGATTCCCTGGATAACATTTCACTGCCCGTCTCGAAAGACGACTTCATCGAACTCATCAAACTATGTATTAAGGATTGCAAATTCGAATTCAATGGGGAATATTATGCTAAAAAATTTGGTATGGCAATGGGTAATCCACTCTCACCTGTATTAAGCAACCTATATATGGAATTCTTTGAAAAGAAACTATTAAGTAATATTTTACCACCCTCAGCAGTCTGGTTTAGATATGTTGATGATGTATTATGTCTCTGGCCATGTAATGAGGACCTAAAAGCTTTCCTGCCACAACTTAACAACTTAGCCCCCTCGATCAAATTCACTGTGGAATTAGAGCAAGACTGTAAATTGCCATTCCTAGACTGTCTGATACACAGAATAGGTAACACTTTTAAGTTCAGTATTTATAGAAAACCAACTAATGTGTGTTCATACATTCATTATTATTCTGCCCACCATAATAAAGTCAAACAGTCAGTATTTTCAACAATGTTTTTACGTGCCTTGAGAATTTGCAGTCCGGAATTCATCGATGAGGAATACAAATATATATATAATATTGGCTCAAACCTTAAATACCCTAGATCTTTCATAGACAAATGCTTAAACATTACTAAGAAAACTTTTTATAGAACTGACCCCAAGCCCACCCATGACCATAAGAATATCTTAATATTACCATTTCACAAAAATTTCTCACACATTCCTGCACAGCTAAAAACCTGGAACGTCAATGTGGCATTTAAAAACTCATGCACTGTTAAACAAATGTTAATCAAGAACTCCCCCAACAACACAATTGGTTGCATTTATAAAGTTCCTTGCAAGGAATGTAATATGTTTTACTTAGGCCAGACAGGTAAAGATCTTGCAACTAGAATTAAACAACACAAATACAGTGTTAGGACAGGCCAGGAATCCAATGCTCTGTTTGTTCATTTGAGGGATAACAAGCATTGCATTGACTGGGATAATGCCTCCTCAATATTACCATGTAATTCAATTGATAGTAGGAACATCATAGAATCTAGTCTTATTAAACATACCGAAGCATCCAACATGAATTTGAGTAACGGCATGTACAAGCTGGACAATTTTGTAATTAAGAAGATTTGTGATCAGGTGAGAAGGCCGGGTCACTTGACCATCTGACCTGACCACCAACCGTTGTGTGCTATTTAAAGATTAGTAAGGTCATTACCTAATACCTGACCATTGTGGACCTGGTCTCACCCTCCTCTGTATATATACACCTTGATTTGTATTACTCTCTCTAGTCTGTACTCACCCCTGAAGATGTGAATTACACGAAAGCGCTTGGGAACTTCGTGTTTTCTTCTTTCCTTGTGGTTATCAGCATATACCTAGATCACGCGCACCTACAGTGATTTACTTGCATATATATATATATATATATATATATATATATATATATATATATATATATATATATATATATATATATATATATATATATATATATATATATATATATATATATATATATATATATATATATATAAAATTCCCTTGTTGCAACTAAACTCCAGAAGGGTGAGCTTTAATATTTATTTACATTACCTACCTCATTTACCTAATGGTCACCTACTGAAGGTGGCCATGCCACATGGCCTGTTCTTGATCATTTCCCAAGAGCTATTTTGAAGCCCAGTGCTGTTCATGATTCTACAGCTTGAGCTGGTAGACTGCTCCATAGGTCTACCACCCTGTGTGAAGACTTATTCCCTTATGTTCATTATCCATGACAGCTTGTTGAGCTTGTAGCTATGTCCCCTTGAGTTTGAGGCATTGATAGTATTTAACAAATATTAGACAAAACAATTCAGAGCTGGTATTTTACAGCTTTTAAAGGATCAATTACTGTACAGTGCATTAATTAGGTAAACAAATAGAACAAGCTTCAGTTGCTAATGAATGAAACTATTACCTAAATTTCCCTTGCAGTAGAGAGGGAGCATAATATACATTATACTGTACAAAATATAAACCAGAGGAGGAGGTGACCCACTGAAAGGTAAAGTGGTAGTCGACCTCTAGTGTTGAAACACTATTCACTTTTCCATTAGCCATAAAATACCTGATGACAAAGGTTTATCAGTTTTATAACCAATCAGTACACAAATTATGAAGTTTGGAAGTGAGGGACGCCTAGAAATTTAATATTCTTTATAAGTATATCAAGAAGGTGGATGAACAAAAGGGGTTGGAAGTGCATGTGCCTCCCTTTAATGCACCTTTGTCTTCACAAGTTACAACCAGCCTATATTGCAAGGAAAAGCCAAAATCTTAAGTAATTTATGGAGAAAATAAAACTGAAAGACCAGTTAAGGTAACAGTCTTATATTTATTGCATTTGTACAAATACAAGAGGAGTTAGCAGTAAGCGTAACAAAAAGCGTGCCAAGCTTTGATTCCGTTCTAGAAATGGTGATCCTGGTGTCAAGATCACTCCATACATGTTACTCTTTTCTAGAACCCTGGATCCCAGTCTGTGACCTGCTGTACCTTGTTTATCTTGTAACATACTAATGTGTCACCAGGTTCAAACCGCAGTGATTCATCAGTAAACTTTAGTCCACATTCATTTCCTCGATTGATAGTGGCCACTTCCGACTTTAAGTGACGCATTGATGATAGCATCCCTACAAAAAAAAAAAGGCATTACGTATTCATGCTTTTACTAAATTGCATTTATGAGTCAACATGAGCAGTATACTGTGCTCTTTAGGAAGACTTAAATCACAAATTCTTTAAACAAAATTATGTTTTGTCTCATGATAATATACAGTACAGTAAACCCTCAATAACTTGGCACATATGGGGCTTTGGCCTTGCCAAGTTATCCCAAATTCCAACTTATCGAGGCACTTGCCCCCTCCTACGGAAATACAACAATAAAAAATTATCGACCCATTACTTAGCAGTAATGCAGGCAAATAATGAAGCATCACAGTAGGTGACACAGAGGCATGGTAGGTGATGCAGGTGACCAGATGTGCCAAGATTTTCCCAGATCATTTTACATATCTCAGCATTTCCCAAGTTATACTAATACATTCTGAGACCATATCCATGCCAAGTTATATGAAATTCCGAGTTATCAAATGCTGAGTTATTGAGGGTTTATTGTAATGTATAAATACAATATCCAGGAATATCAAGAAAAAGGGGGGTCCAAGAAGTTGTGAGAGAACAAGGCAAGCACACCCAGCTGGGGGTATTTTGGGGGTGCATGCTATAAGCCCCGCAGAATTTTTTTTAAATCTGACCAATATCATGGGCATTGTGAGGCTATTTTGAAGCCATGTGCACTTGATACTGGGAGATATTCTAAGGTCAATAGTAATTACCTTTTACTATATAAAAATGCCTGAGTACAGTACTGCATTAAAGAAAAAGTACTGGAATTTTCTGACGAGAAAAAGGGGGAGGGGGGGTCCAGACCCCCAGGACCCCCCTGAATATGGGTGGTGGATAATCTGTCAAGAGCTGAATGTATACCAAAAACACTGAGGTGGTAGAAATTCTAAACAGTAATGTAATATGACACTGAAAGCATGATACTATCACAGTAAATACAATATCCTCTAATAAAGGTAGGTAGAATAGAAACATCTACTGTATACTATTTCATGAAATGTGATTTATGTTTACATGATTCAAGAAATGACTGTGGTATCACAATTGCCACTTCATTTGGTATCAAATACTGTACTGAATTACAGTAAGATGCTTAACATCACCCAGAAATTTTAAAATCCCCCACCACCAACCACCCCTACACCTTTGCATCTGTATGCTCCAATATTTTCACAAATCACTACATGTATTTGATGGTCATAGGATAAGAGCATGAGTATGAGGCATCCACATGTTAAATTGAAAAACAAACAAAAAAAACAAACATATATTTCTGTTAAATGGCTGGGTAAAGTTGGAATCCCAGTGATGAAGAATTTTTTAAAGAAACATGCATTTAAAAAGCACACTTGTTTGAAATTTAGTTTTTGAATAGTGTAGAGAAATTGTCAAATGCTGTCCAGAGTTTTTATAGGGTGGGTGAAGCACGTGTTAAGTTTGTTTGGAACAGAGAAACTGGTTTCCAGTGATAGTAGGACAATGTTAACAAAATGTATTGTCACCAAGACTATTTAATAATTTCATAATTGGTATAGTGAGAAGTGAGAGCAAGGACAGTGGAAAGAGGTGCAAGATTCATATATAATTGTACAATGTGTTAATGTTTGCACATATCACTGCTGCAGTAGATGATTCAGTGTTACAGCTAAAATATGAGTGACTTCAGTTATTATGCAATTAAAACTTTTGAGCTGTCCTTTGGATAAGTAATCATACAGATATCAAATTGTAGACAACAGATCCTTAATCAGTTTGTTCAAGAGTACATATATCTCAGAATTTAAATTTAATGTGTCTAACTACTTAGGTACATCCAGAATAACATAAACACCAACAAGTGACCTTGAAAATCCAGGGTTGGCAAAAACCATTGGTATTTTTGTTTTTTTTTGTTTCAATGCTATAATGTTGGTTTTAATAAGTTTTAAGTATTTGTAGCCTTTTTATAACCTTTTAAAATGCTATTAATAAAAAAATTACATTCAGGATGATTTAGCAATCATTTATATTCTTTTCTATCTAAAATAAATCACTGCGAAGGCCAAATTTGAAAAACACACGCTTTGATCAGTCAGCCAGACTCATCCTACATGCTTAAAGGCAAAATATAAGTTTAAGTTCATCTTAATGCATGAAAAATTATTAAACTTTTACAGTAGAAAATTTTAAATAATTCATTTAAGAACAGTTGGAGAGAGAGAGAGACATGGGCAATGGCAACTTGGCTCTCCTGGACCCATATAATACATGATCTCAACACATTAGAATAAAAGGCTAAGAGTCCAACCATAAACAGAAGCAGTCACAAGTTATACTGAACAGTAGCAACATGGCTCCCCTATAATAAGGATCTGAGATGAGCGCAGCTCAGTAAGAAAGCTTTTTATCACCACTTTCACCAGTGGTTCACACCCATGTCTATACCAATGGGACATAACTTATCCCTGTCTAACACCCACATTTATTTCAACTGTTTTATTTTCTTTCCCATTTTCTCTTACTGTTGCCCAGCTGTTCTCAAATAATGCTATTAGTACTGCATATAATAGCCTTCCTCCCACCCCATACACTTGTACTGTAATGCCTCCCACAATGCTTTTCGGTTCACCCTATCATATGCCTTTTCCAACCACTGTGTATGTGTGTATGTATGTACAGTATGTATGTATGTATGTATGTATTTGCATGTATGTATGTATGTACAGGTATACTGTACATATAATACATGGGGGTTACAGGAAATATACAGATAGAATCTTGATTATAAATTTATTTACCCTCCTGTATAGTATCTTGTCCTCGAATTACTCGGTATAATGCTTCTTTCTTGAGTGTTCCTTTGACACAGCGACAGCCAGCAACTGGTACCTTCTTTTTGCCTTCTGTTATAACAAACTCTTCTATCACATTTGCTTCACCTGAGAATGAGAGTAAAAAAGACCATACATACACCATTACACTTCTTACACCAACTGCAAACTTCTTTCCTTGACAGAGTCACTTGGATGTTCTTAGCTGAGATCACAAAGTCAGTTAAGAACTGTGCCTTGAGGCCTATCCTGAATAAGATCAAATCCATCCTTTGAGGTAACCCTGTTTGTTCCAAAACGCCTAAGAATGATTGCAGGAGTTAGCAACCCAAATTTTAGGGAAGCAGCTACTCAAGGGGGCTTTAAATTACCCGAGGAATAGACTCGTATACAGTAATGTATTCTTTTTACTTACCCAAGACTTCTTCCACCTCTTTAAAAGGTAAATTTTCTGATAATTCCTTCTTTAAATCTTCCACCAAATGATATATCACATTGTTTTCCTTGATGGTCACCCCCTCTGCTATGGCCATCTTCCGTACATCAGGAGGGACTTGTGTATTGAATGTGTAAATTGATCCTGGAACAGAGGTTAGATTATGTTCTTGATATGCTGAAGGTCTGGCCAGAAATATAATATCCTCAGGATTCCTTGTTTGTCATGAGGAGACTGAAAGAGAGCCTGACATTTAACATAAAAACATTAACCAAGAAAGCAATAAAAGTATACCAGTTACTAAATGAATTTAATAATTCAGTGAACACTGTTCACATAGTAGGAAGAGAGCACAAATAACAGATCTCCTTGTTGCCAGTTCATTTGTAGCAGCAACAAGTCCATAAACTGGAACTTCACCTTAGAATAATGCCTGCAAAGACATTATGAACGTCTGTGGAAAAAAAGTCAAATGAAATCCAAAATAAATTATTCTTTACCAAACTAGAATAATAAAAAAAAAATCCATATACTGTACACTGAAACTACTGACAAAATTACAGGATATGAAAACTAAGCAGTTGATGGTTCCAAAATCTGTGTCCACTATTTTAACATATGAGTATAAGTTTACTGCAAGAGGCCTCCAAAGTACAGCAATAGGAAGCTATATTTTAAGAGAAGATGGTGACTCCTTTGAGACAACATTTGTGAAGAGATTTTCCAACCCCTTTCCATACATCTCAACATTCTCAGACCTAATTTCACACTAAGCTTCACAATCAAGTTATCCATAAAGACTCTCCTAGCCCCATCCAAATTAACTAGAATAATAATGTCATTCAAGAGTAACTGACTCCCAATTTCATGAACATAAAACTTAATATTACATGCAGAATTGACAGATCCTCAGGTGGGCCAACCAATCCAACCTGATATGAAACTTTTCTAAAATTCCAATCTGGAAGACTGTACAAAGGAATAATCTTTTAATAACCTGTAGGACAAATCTGCACCATAATGACACAACAGGTGTTGGCCCCCCAAAACTAACTCCCATGAAACTCACACTAGGTTGATTAACATTTGTAAACATTTGCAACTGCAATAAAAACCTGATCACATTTACAACAACACAGCACAATTAAACTAACAAAATGCAGAAATATTTCATTTAGATGCACTTAACTATCAACGAGTTGAGTCTGTTGACATCCGTTCAGCTTGCTATTTGACTAAAAATGAAGGGGTTACTATGAGATGGCACTAGTCATGTAGCTGTGCAAATCAAGAGGTGTGCTGATGCTAGTGTGAAGGTGAGACTCAAAAATAAATTTTTTTATGGGTAACTGGCACTTAATGACTGCCATTACCATCAGGTTTTTATAGAAATCCAGTAGTTACTGACATATCTGGATCCTAGGAAACCTGGGTTTCCAATGCCGTGGACTTGCTGATTATATATGAGTTACATAAGCCAGACAAACTCTATTTCTTAGGATTAACAAGATCTAAACATGACCTTACTGAGGGAAAGAAAAAAGGTATACACCATTAAATGATGAGGCCATTGTCACGTCATTGGGGGAAACTGTGCCCACACCATAGCTGATGATGTCCAGCTGACATTCTTCACTGTGGTAAGTGTCCAGCACGTTGAGGATGGCCTCTACAGTGCCATCTACATCCCCCTTCAGCACCACAGACACTCGAGGTCCTGTATCTAATTCTATGTTCTCTTTCTTACGAGGTTCTCGACGACGACGTTTGAACCTGTGGAGTAAGTTCAAACTGTAGCTGTATGAAAAATAGTGATTTTCATTTGAAAAAAATTTCCCTTATTCACCTGATCACACTTGTAAAACTAAGGAGACACAAGTGTACTCATAAAAAGAAACATTGGTACATTGGTACATATAAAAGTATATTCTTAGTAACTAGAAAAATAATAAGCATACAGTAGTATTGTATTGTTATGATACTGGATCCATGACTAGATAAGATTTACATATAAAATTTGTGAATAAAATCTTGATTCTGCAGTACAATACTTTCTCTCACTTAAGATGATAGAACTTTATGGGTAAACAGTGACACAAAAGAAAAGCACCACATTTTGCGGCATATAGGAGGCATCTTTTTGTCTGAAAAATGGATGAGAAATATCAGCCTGCATCCTAAATGTGAAGTTGCTGTCTCCAGTGGGCTAAACTCTACCTAGCACAACTCCAGATTTAAAAATTTTTATTGCTTACTTAAGCTTATGATAAAGCTAAGTACCTGATAGTACTAGAGAACAGTGGTTTTGTAGGAGAGGGAGGAGGAGGTAAGCCTTCATTTTTCAAGTAAATAAATTAATTAAGTGATTGTGTGTTAAAAAAATCACCAGAAATACAATAATGCACAGTATGGCAATTTATTCATTACTGACTGTACTAATACAAATTTGTCTTAATGCAATGTCTTGTACTGTATTTTTGTGTGTGCATATGGAGCCAATATGAGGCCAATTGGAGGGATCTGGAACATATTCCTTTATTTAACATGGAAATAACAGTTTGCATAGGACAATTTTGCTAATGATGTGATTCTCCAGGTATAAATTTGTTGGCATGTGCAGGATATGACCATAATAAGAGAACACAACAGTGACAGGCTTGTGGGGATGTTGCGTCAGTAACAGTATAATATGATTGATGGTAAACAGAGAGATAATTTAGATTTGCCCATTTTTGGTTACTTAGTAATGTTGATTGATATGAGACATTTTAGTATTTAGACAGTCTTATGGGAAATTTGTTTATGTAATATAACTTGAGGATGCATCAATTACTAATCTTAATAAATTTCAACTTATCAAGCAGTTTTCATTTACTCTTCCACCTTAGGGATATACAGTATATGAATAAGCAGAGTGGTGTTGCAATATGCCCTTACTCTTCACATTTCAAAAATATACTTCAACTCATTATGATAAGAGGAAATTTTAAAGAAACTACACTATACCTCAGGAATGTAAATAAAAGTTCATTCACCCCCAAAACATCAAATAATGTACAAGTAGACCCTGATTTATGAAGCTTCAGTGTATGAATTTTCAATGTTACAATTTGTTTTTGTGGTGGTACTTGTGTATCATCTTTACATCATACAATATGCAAAATGACAGTAAATGAAATCCAAATTCCCACAGGTCCAGTGTTATAAGAATGTTACAAGAGAAAGCAATACCTGTAATATTTTTGGATAACCTTTGAGCAAGTCACATTATTTAATGGTAAAGCTATACACAAGAACTTTGCTGAAGCCTGAAAACACATGTGGCAGGCTCCACTTTGGTGTAGTCGGTCACTTCTCGCACAACTATAGAATTATAAAGAATTAAACTAAAAACAACACATTAAACATGGTTAACTAAGCTAAACCATCATTTCAAGTTTATTATTGGCTTATGATTGTATCATTGTGAACACTAAAAATTTCCTTAAAAATATGTTTTGTAGTATTTTAAGTCATTTTTTTTCATCAGAACATATCTCAGCTTTCAAAATGGGAGTCTATGGGAAATGTGCTTCAATTTACAAAAGGTTTCTTGAACAAAACCCTTTCATAAATATGGATCTACCTGTACTAATCACAATGTCACAACATCCTGTACTATGTTTGGTCTCACCTGATGCCCAGTCTTCTTTTCTCTTCTAACTGAGCTTTATACACTCTGAGGTGTTCATTTAACTTGTCTTGTATAGCTGCTTGTTCTTCTTCCTGCTTCTCTAATTTAAATTCATGGTTTCTCCAGTGGACCACCTCTGTTGCTTGTCGCTCTGATTCCACCTCCAGTATCAGGTCACCTGCTGATGGTAGCTCCCTCCATCCAATAACCTGTCATGATAATAAAATGCAAATGTTTCTTACCAAAAATGGCCAAGTTTGTAACCACAGCAGAGTCTAAGAGGTCATAAGTCCAGTCTAAACTGAAATAGCAGAAAATACAGATTCTCTAAGTTAATAATATAATTTTTTTAATATTCAGTACAGTACTGTATACACAAAATACATACTGTACAGTATACTGCACTCTCTCTGCCTACCTTTCCTGAGTTGTGTTGCAAAATGACAGGATACACTTTCTCTCTCACACAATCTCACATTCATTGGAATCCCCCAGAAAAGTGACTTTTATGACTGAATCTTTATCCACATGGTCTACGTCTACAATTTTATCCTCAGAAAAGAAAAACTTCATGCTTTGCTATACAGTAATTCATTTAGGCAGGTTATAATAAGATTCAGTATCAACTGTATAAATGGCTTTTATTTTTAAGAAATGAGTACGTACAGTACACTGAAGAATATTATAGTGATTATAATGATACCCAAAGAGCAAATTATATTATAAGGATAGGGTGACGTAGAGGCACTTCTATCTTCATTACTCCGTTAAATGGGAGCTTGCTAGAGGAGTGAGGTATTGCACATAAGGTAAGAAGACATGTGCTTCTTTGATCACTGCAGGGTTCACCACTAAGGAATTAAACAAGTTGGTCCTTCAAGCATAATTTCCATTTTGCTCTGTTTGAATTATCTTATTGTGCAAAAGGAAATTTCTGTCTACCACACTTCAAAATTCATAAAGTCAAATGACAGTAACTTACAAGAACCCACATTTACTAGGTATAAGTTGTCATATTGATTTTTCAAATAAAAAATGTGTGACTGATCATCTAAGCCTGTTTACAAATACTCAGGCAACAGTGTACCTCATTTGATACCCTTACCATTGACCTTTTCTGGTAATTCCCAAACTGTCACATAACACTCCTGTACTACAGAAGGTTAAATCAGGTTCAATTAAAACCCATGAGATTACAGGCCCTACCAGCCTAGGAAGTGCAACACAACATATCTATTCTATGAAATTCTGGATGATCTGCCATGAATCTTCAGTTAATCTGAACTTACATAAGTTTAAATGTGTGAAACTGCTGTCAAGGTAAGGTAAAGGTATACTGTAATAAAAAACAAGTGCAGGGTATATGAGATTACACACCTAACCTGTATATAAAAGTTGCTAAATAGGGTAGTCATTATTTTAACAGGCTAGTTTCTGTTAGTCTGTTCCATGGGTGACACAATAACTTCCTAACCAATATTTAAATAATATCTGTGTGATCACAGTTACTCACAGAAAACCTAGAGGCAGGAAGAAAAGTACAGCATTTTGTCTAAATTTTAACTTAATTTTTTTATTCGAGTGGTTCATGAAGACAGAAGTAATAAGACTATAAAATGTTGATGACAATATTAAGTTATGTTAGCCCATCACATATGCAGTTAACATAAAATAGCTAAATAATTTCCTATCTGGAACTGGTGCCCATTTTACCTCTTTCTCCCAATCATCTTTACTTTACTAGCTGGAGACATCCTTGTTCACACTACACTTGAAAATCTTCACAAATCATACATCATAAACACTTGATAAACCGATCAATTTTATAGTGTACTGTTTATTGTCAACTTTGAAGAGTCAGACTCATTGCTGACCAAAAAGTTGTGATACAAGTGATATATCAATTATTAGTTTGAAGAGGTTGACTCACCAAAGACCCAGATGTTGTGACACACATAATGAATCAGTCAAGCAATCTGAAGAGTCAAAATTAGCTTACTTGGACAGGTGTGGCAGGTGGAGCAGCTTTAACTGATTTTCCTGCATCATTGAACATATTACGCACTTTGCACCAGGCAGTCCCAGCGACTAACACTGCTCCTTTTCTCAACGTGCCTCTCTCTATCACACATGTTGCTACCTGTTATAAACAAATGACAGATTTCAGTTCACACTCCAGCAAGTAAGCATATCTCATATGCTAGATCTAGTAAACAGGTAGTTAAATTTACACACACATGAAAACAACAACTAAATATACAGTACAGTAAGCTCTCAGTGAGAGCATGTGACTTGTAGCCATTCAAATATTTATCTTATTAGATACACATAACTTGTCCTCACTGTACTAAATCTACTGCAATATAAGTTGTACATTTCAACCAACTGCTGAAGATTGACATACAGTATACCAGTAGTATTGTAAATCACAACCATCTAACTTTCATCAAAGTATAAGTCATTCATCCTCTAAAGTAGAAGTATGACAACAACTACAGTATAAGTACTATGGCCACAAAATTATGAGAATTCCATCCACTACAGTAAAAGTAATTCCATCCAGTAAAGTACAATACAAATACTATGTCCAGATGAGTGTAAGTACATCATCCAATTAAGTATCAAAACTATATCTGCAAAAATAAAAGTATTACTTCCACAAAAGTTTAAAGTACTACATCTGTTTAAGTTAAAGTACAATGCTACATCTAATATGTATCGGTATTACATGTAAGGAAATATAAATCCATCCCTAACACTGTTTAACCATTATGATCAAATGAGGACAGTGGTAGTCAACACTCTGGGAATGCACAACACAAAACCATCATTTCAGTCATTTTCTTGCTTCACTTTTTTATATTTTCCCCAATGCAGTACAGTACAATGCAAAGTGTTTGGAATGAAAAACCCACACACACAGACCCTCCCTTATTTCACTCAACATTTTTGTGTTAATATAGTAGTGGCGTTTTAGGGAATGTGATTTTAAATTGGAGCAATGTTTGAGGAATCCTTCTTTCACAAAAATAAACAAAATATCACCACAACCATCAACTGTACTAACTTAATGCCATCAACACCATCTACTCTACTGACCTAATGCCATCACAATTATATACTGACCTTTCCTCTACCAGGGTCAAGTTTTGACTCCACAACAACAGCTTCTACCAGGCCACGAGGGTCAGCTTTAAGGTTGAGCAGCTCTGCTTGGGTGACTATGGCCTCTACCAGCAAATTAAGGTTCTGGCCTTTGAGAGCGGACACTGGTACAGCCTGCACCTCCCCACCATCTTCCTCCAGTTGCAGGCCATTATGGAGCAACATTTCTCTGGTACGTGGCTGAAAATTATACAGATGTTAATGAAAAAGAGGACTAATGTATTTCAAATTGATTACCCAAATTCTTTTAGAAATGTTAGTACAAGTGTATATTCATGTGGAAAAGATATGAAGATTCATTGGTGACTTTCAAACCTAAACTATTTTCAAGTTGGAAAATGACCAGTCTTATAAAAAACTTACAATGTCAGCTTCTGGCTTGTCAATCTTGTTGATGGCCACAACAATGGGAACTGAAGAAGGAAAAAAATCCTTTAATGTATCTAAATTACAGTTATCTAATTACTGTACTGTACACGGAAACATAACATATACTGTATATGGGTTCCTGTATAAGTGGTGAAGGTTCATGGTAGGATATGAGATTACTTAGCATCTCCTCTTTAGTTAATAGGATAAAAATGCAACTACAGTAAAAGTCCAAAAATCCGGATGCCAGGAATCCGGACCACCCGAGAATCCGGACTTTTCGAAAACTCAAATTTTTTAAATTTAGCGGGCTTTTGTGGGTTACGTGAATGAATGGAGTTGCTTTAAAAAATGAATTTACATAATTCTAATAATAAAAGTATTTGTAAATTATAGGTAGCTAATTTTGTTAGTTTTGTAATTAGCTTGAACTGAAATGTAAAATTTGAGGAACTATAAATCTTTTGTGTGTATGTGTGCATGCATGAATGCCACAGCTACACAGCGACAACAAACGACCACGCGAACGCCACTTAAAAACAAGCAATCAAACTGTGACAACGTATGTAATTTTGAGTTCTACTCTTTTCATGTACAGAGTACAAGCCCATAATAATGGCCCCTAAAGTAGATAAACTTCGTTGTGTGAAGAAAAAGAAGAACACATTGAAATTGAGTGACAAACTTGAAATAATTATGAAACTAGAACGTGGTGTGAGCAATGCTGTTCTAATGGAAACATACGACATTGGAAAGTCTACAATTTATGATTTGAAAAAGGCAAAGAATAAAATTCTAGAATTCACAGCTTCTTCTGAGCCTTACATTAAAATTGCTGAAAGAAAAAGTTTACATTGGCCCAAATTAGAAAAATCTTGATAAAGTGTTGCACGAATGGTTTTTGTTAAAACGATCAGAAGGTATGGCAATTTCTGGGCCGATGCTTATTGCCAAAGCAAAGTCTTTTAAGGAGCAAATGAACATTGAATCAGAGTGTGCATTTAGTGATGGATGGCTTAGGAATTTCAAGACTCGTCATGGTATTAGACAGTTTGTTTACATTTTTGTCTAGTGTTGACTTTATTTTTCTTTAAAACTGCTCGTTTTGATAAATGAAGCATGCTATATTTGCTAATGAATAAACTATCAAAATGTACCTGTTCACCTCTTCTTTATTCCTCCTTAAATTTTAATTTTAAAAGTACTGCCTAAGAATCTGGAAAATCCGAAAATCCGGACCGACCCAATCCCCAAGCAGTCCGGACTTTTGGACTTCTACTGTAACATTACTTGGCCTTTTTTTTTAAATCTTGCTAGTATTTTCCTACTCCACCATGGGATTGCCAAAATCATTCACTCTCCCTAATTGCCAAACTTTATACTTACTAGAGGACAACAATACTAATACATTACTCATTCCCGAGTTACCATTGGCTTCTAAAGCATGTTGAATGGATTCTTTAGTCTGCTCCATGACACCATCATCAGCAGCAACCACCAGCACCACCACGTCAGTCACAGTTGCTCCCCGTGCCCGCATCGCCTTGAAGGCAGCGTGGCCGGGAGTGTCCAGGAATGTTACTTCTTCGCCCGAGTCAAGTTTTACTGAAGAAATTTTTTTTATATAAATCTTCTTATTCCTCCTTAGTATCCAAACTTTTTCTTATCATCCAGGAATATAAAAATTCAAATGCTTACCTAATAATATAGAACTGTACAGTATCTTCATTTATAGAACAACACAATGAATACAGAACTCTTTAACGGTACAAAATCAACTGATAACTTATAAGTCTGTATCCATAAATGACCCATTCCAGTATAAGTTTATATTTTCCATTAACTTTCAACTTTTTGTTAACTGAATACAATACGGTGGGGTTGCTAGCCTAATGCTTACAAATTAATTTTTTTTTGTTACATCACACCTTGAACAGGTAGCCCATTTCCTCACCAATAACTGTGGGCATGTTAGCTTTTGAATCTGGCCACATAGTATTCCAGTCAGAAGGAAAAAATAATAATAATAATAACAGACACTAATATATTTTGGCATAAATTGTGCTGACTGGTCAGACACAACCAGTCCAGTGGACAGCTGTTGCACCTAATGTGAAGGGAAAGGTGACTGGATTACGAATCTGGATCAAAATATCAACATTAGCAGTATAACCAGTTGGCTAAAGAAAATGGATAGCTCATACTACATGAAGCCACCTGGTGGAGAGTATATATCAGAAAAATAATTAGGAAGTGTGCATGCCTTCTACCAATTTAACTTCACCATGTCAGCAAAGTTATTCATCACTGTAGTTATTCAAATAATTCAATTATTATTACTATTGTTAAGATTATTCAACTACAGCACTGGAATTTCTTTTATATCTTTTTTTATGTACTCCATACAGTGCAATAATCATCATAATTATTATCATAACTTCCCTTAGGGCTCAAGAAATAACCCTGCTTCTCAATACCCTACAATAAGTTCAGATTAACAAAACAAGACACCATTAAATCAATGCCAAAAGCTTAGCATTAGAGCTTACCAGAAAATGCCCCAATGTGCTGAGTGATTCCCCCAAACTCTGTGTCAACAATGGCAGAGTGTCTCAGGGCATCCAGTAAAGTAGTCTTGCCATGATCAACATGTCCCATTATGGTTACTACAGGTGGTCTAGGGATAAGGTCACTCTCCTTCGGTGGAGGTCTGTAATACAAACATATATATTTACATACAGTATATACACCTGCCCCTGGAAACTGTAGAGTCATTCTCAATCACCAGCAAACATCAGTGCATTTTCAACCTTGAGGGCCTAGGAGTAGCATTCCTAAAAGCTACTGTATTAACACTCACACCACACATTTCTTACCATTATAATATATAATTCAAATCAAATCATATTTAGTCTGAATAAAAAAAAAATCAATAAAAAAGTAAACCCTCTTGACTTAAAAAAAAAATAAATAAAAAAATAAAATCAATGCTCCTGAACCGTACTTTGGTAGCACCCTTCCTCTCACCACCTGTCAATTCCAGTATCTCTCTATGGTAGAGGGTGTGCTATAGTAAAGGAGTCACCACAAGAAGGTAGGGTCGAATTTGGTTACTGCCCATTTAAGCAGTGTCCCACCATGGTATATTTTCCATAATGTGTGCCCTTGGTTTATCCACACTAAAAGACTAAAAATTAAGAATGACAAAACTAAAAATGCTGGCAGATGTACACAAACCTTCTGAAAACATCTTTATTCTCCTTCACTTTTTCTTTCTTGTCTTCAGGATTGTCAATTTTAAAGCGTAAGCCGGCTCTCTTAACAGCATCTTGTATGACTTTCAGGTTGTCTATGACAGCTGTGGGGCTGTCGTATGGATCACTATTCTCCACATATATGAATATTTCAAACACAGTGTCTGTCAAAGGAGAAATAAAAAATTGACAAGTTTTTCAAAATATATGTTGGTTTTGTTACTAAGATCTACCACAACAGCATCATACTTTGTTACCTGTCAAATTTCAACTAAACTTTCAGGCTATTTCCTACTGTCTTCCTCTGAACCATATCAGTGTATTTCCTTTTTTTCAAGTTACTGAATAAAAACATAAGCATGTGACATTAACTATTTAAGAAAAGATGTCTATACTGAAGAAATTAGACAGTAATAGTACATTTTATGCATTATTCAGCCTCTTTTAACCAGTCTGGTCCCAAGCTTCCCAGATTAGCGAGGACCAACCTGTATTAACTACTTCCATCCTCTATATGTCATAAAGTTTATTCACTTTTCCCCATAATAACCATTACTCTTTTCACGTTTCTTGATCTGTCTTGTCTGATATTTCCCGTAAACTTTTTTTTCTCACTATCTTCCTAATATATGGACCTCATTTCATTCCAAAACCTGGCCCACCTGTGGTACAAGGAGCTCCTTTTAAATGTCACAGGTCTCTGCCTATGTTGCTTGGAGCCCTTTCCAAATCTCAGAAGTCTGTGCCTATGGCATGTGGAGCAGATACATTCAGTATTTCAGCATTACTACATTTTAAAATATTTTAATGGAAATCTTTGTTTATTCAACTAAATTTCATGAATTGGCATCAGCCCAAGGATATCTATGTACAGTATAGCATGCCATCAAGTCTTAGGGATGCAACCAAAGTATAAACCTTCAACACCGACAGTATTATACCTGTGGAATTAATATATCTCACCCATCACAACTTTTATGCTTAAAATTGGAGATTAAAAGTGAATTTCCCTGAAAAATTGGGAAGTCACAAGCTCTTACGTCTAGAGCAACCTGCATGTGCAGTTCTCCTTGTCCATCAATGGTTACCTGGGATTTCCAGTTACCTGTACTGTATAACATCAATCCTGTCTCCCTACCAGAAGCAGGTAATTTTCAAGAGAACTCAATTTCATAAGGACTAAGTATGTAAACCTTCATTCTTACATGGGACTATATCCCAAAAGTGGTTATGTTACCATAAAACCATATGATCAAGTGTCTATTGTGCAACTGGAAAATAAAGATTAAATTTCTTGTACCACCAATATCATCCATTATTGCAGTTTTCACCATTTATATCATATTACAGCTCGCAATTCCCGCCTTTGCTGACGGCCCTGCAAATATTTCAATGTGATTCTAATCTTTTAAAATGTTAGTTTTTGTATAATGTACAGTAGTATTACTGATATGTAATTTGTCTTAGTATGCCTTATTGTTGGTGAGAATAAGTATACCTGTACCTGGTACATTAAGTGCATCCTCCGAAAGCGTGAATTTGCTACCAGAGTTTAACAGTTAATTCATGTATAATACTTCTGATAAACTTCCTATGTACTTATGTTTGAAATAATGAATGTATGTATCTTTATATAATTTAGCTAAATATCTTTCTCATCAGAAACGGTCATCCCAACGATTATGAATAAACTTGTTTAGAAATACTTCATTACTTCAGGACAAAATTGGACAGGTTTGAAACCGGCAAAAATGCACTATAAGATACCAAGTAAAAACATTCTTACATAAGTACTCATATCCTCATATTACATGCAATGTAAACGAAGTGAGTCCCGAACCACCATTGTGATCAATAACACTTCATATCAACTCTTTGTACAAAATTAATCTGACTTGTCAACTTAAAAGAGGAAATCATAAGGGTGAACAACACTAAACTGTAACTATATTCCCCTCAACCTTTTAAGTTGAAGGGATAAAAAAACAAATGCATTGGGCAATGGAGGAATCATGTAAGAAACTGCTACCTGTACTACGTGACTACAGATGTGTATCAATAATGTACAGGTGGGAACAGTGTGCATAGGGTAGATCAGTATACAGTACAATACCATAAAGGAGATACTACATTGAGTCATACCCAGATCTTTTCCCAGGGCATCAGCAAGCTCTTGAACTGTCATGTTCTTCCAGATGCTGACCACAGCAGCTTTCTCCTTTTTAAGACTCTTAGGATTTAACATCACAGCTTTCTGAAACAAATCATTCAGCACACAATTATTTTTTCTTATTATTATGTTGGCTGATTATTGTGTTGGTTAAGTCTGAAAGTTTCACTTCACTTGCCGACATACATAAACCAGAATCTACTAACACAGCAGCTACCATCATGTGGTAAATGAGAGAGAGAATCAATCTTCATGAATGATTATTAAACTCCATCAATACATAAGTTTTGAAAAAAATCCCTTATCTTGGTACAGTACAGCACATCACGACTGTATTAGCTAGCTACTTATCAAAGGAACTTAAAGAAGGATAAGTTGATGAAGTCACATAAGGGTTATATTTAGGCATCACTACTAAGCAATAATCAGTACTAGATGCATTTATGTCATCAAAATTATGCAAGTAATAATCTTACTGGTAACCTTGTGTTACATACAACCTTTGAATCTTAAAAAAAAAAAAAAATCATATTGTATCGCCAAACAAATGTCACCTCATGATTTTAGTTCATTGACTGATTAGGTTGTATCATACTGGTCAGGATTATAAGATTTCCTATAAGACTCTGGTGTGAGTAATGAATATGGAGTAGTTAAAAGTATTGAATCTATTGATACAAGATACAAAAAATTACAAAATACACCATAAGAAAAATTTATGAAAACAGAAACAAAAAAGAATAGGTACTGTACCTTCTCATCTCTTCCTTTCCTTTTCTTGTGTAAAGTTGATGAGACATGTAAAAATAAAGGCTGATGATGCCCACATAACAGACATGGTGCCACTCGTAAAGTGTTGCGACCAACCTCCGGAGGAGTTAGCGCCACCACACTATGTGCCAAAACTGAAACTTGACTGATGCTTCTTGGTTGAAGCCATCTTCGTAAAACCCAACCTCTGCTGTAATTTTGAAATTTTTTTATATATAAATATTAGTTATCACACTACAGTATTTGCTGCACTCCATCTCAAATCCCATTTTCAAATTACTGTACCTGTAGTACTAGTCAGCTGTCACATCTTACGTAATGCACACTAATAACATCCAACCATGATACAGTGTACTGTAGTTGGCAAGTCAAACAGTATGATTGGATGTGTCAGTCATGCACAAATACCTACTGAGCTCCACCATCATTCCTGTCAGCACACATGTTTAAAATAAAGCTTAAAATGGTCTTATTAACTTGGATTTCTTTATCAGCCAATTGGGTGGATGGTAGTACCCAGGTATTATTATAATTTATCAAAAAATAACAACTTAATAAATATTAGTAATCAATATCATCCACAATTAGCTGACAGTTGTTGAGGTTGTCATGGTGGATGGTTATTCCACCCCTAGCTTCTTATAGTCACAGCTAACCAGTAGCCCATCTCTTAGTTATAATACTGTAATGTAACAATTATGGATGGTCATTGTCAACACTGTACAGTAATCATAAATTTTCTCAATACAATACCGTACTTAAAATTATTACAGTACAGTACAGTATCTGAGTGATTGGTTATACACTTATTAATTGTAATGAATTTCCTTTCCTTCAATATTCTGTAATATTTTTCTAACATTATTATCCAAAAATAAAATAAAAATGAAGGCCACAGAATACCATCATTCATCGTCATATAAGCAAATACAGGCAGTTCCTGAGTTACGACCGCCCGACTTATGATCATCCGCACTTACGAACAGGACCCCAAAATGTTCATCGCAAAAATTTAATTAAAATCTTTTTTTTTTCTTTTTACATTTTTTTCACTATTCTATATTGTTTAACATCACTTTATTTACAATATTTGTTATGAATGGAGTACTATTGTTGTTTTGTATGGGCAGGGTTGTGCTTAAACCTAACCTAAACTATGGAATTAACACTGGTGTAACTTATGAACAAATCCTTTATGCCCTGCCTACTACAGGTGATTTATGTTTGTAGATAGAGAAAAAATAAAAAGTAGAGGCTTCCTTTAAAAGACTTACTATAATGATTAAAACACGTGGGAAAAAATTAACAAAATTGAACAACGCCATCTGGTGTTAATCATCTCCAATATCACCAAATTGACTAAGTTTTAGGTCTATTTGTCATTTCATACAACCATGGATATTTTTATAGAGCCATGTGTTTACTGGTGTTTTCTGTTGTGATTCATTTCTATTGTAAATAACTCATAACCTAACCTAAGCTGCTCTCGGACCCAGAAAGAATGCTAATTGGCTAAGAATTCCTGCGCATCGACTTCACACTCAAATGACGAAGTAATGTTGCTTTGGTATTATTTTAGTTTCAGTCATCCAAGGAATCTTAGGAATTAGGTTAGGTTAGATATCCAAGCTATGTTTTTCCAATGGCTCTTCATGTAGTTTCAACGATTTAGTCTTTCATATCCGTCAGAAATCACATCCCTAGTTTGGATATCTAAATACAGGGATGACCAAGACTCAAATTTTACCAAATAAAGGAAGCCAATTACTTGTCACTTAAAATACACGCAATGTTCAGCAAAATGTCTTGAGAACGTTCCTATTAACAGCAGCATTCTCTCATATAACACTTCTAATAAGAAAAGTGGAGGCTCATGGCATTAAAGGAGATATTCTAAAATGGATTAGGGCATGGTTACAGGACAGGAAACAGCGAGTGAGCATTCACGGCACTAAATCCCATTGGAGCAATGTCACTAGTGGAGTTCCCCAAGGCTCAGTACTCGGACCATTATTATTTATTATACCTGTATACATAAACGACATAGATATCGGCATAGACAGCAACATAAGTAAATTTGCTGATGACACTAAAATAGGCCATGTATTTAAATCTGATGAGGACTCTGCAAAACTACAGGAAGATCTAAAAAAAATTTTCGTATGGTCTGAAAAATGGCAGATGAAATTCAATGTGGACAAATGTAAAATACTCAGCATAGGAGATGTAAACAGGGAAACCAGATACCAGATGAACAACGATGTTATTGAGAAATCCGACTAGCTAGAAAGATTTAGTTGTAATGATAAGTAGGAATCTTAAGCCAAGTAAGAAATGTGTATTTGTAGAAACAGGGCTAATAAAGTACTTGGGTTCGTACAAAGGAGTATTAGTTACAAGACTAGCAAAGTCATCTTAAAACTATACCTTTCGCTTGTGAGACCACACCTGGATTACACAGTTCAATTCTGGTCACCGTATTACAGAATGGTTATAGAATCCTTGGAAAGAATTCAGAGGAGAATGACAAGACTAATCCCGGGCATTAGGAACCTTGAGTACAGAGACAGAATAAAGCATCTTTATTTGCACTCCCTCGAGAGACGTAGAGTGAGGGGTGATATGATAGAGGTGTATAAATGGAAGTCAGGGCTGAACAAAGGGGACATTACCGAGGTACTCGAACTATACAACCAGGAACGAACTCGTAACAATAGTTTTAAATTTGACAAATTTAGATTTATGCACGAAATAGGTAAACACTGGTTTGGAAATAGAGTAGTGGACGACGGGAACAAGTTACCAAATATCATCATTAACTCGAATACGCTGAATAGCTTCAAACATAGGTTGGATGCTTATATGAGCAATAGGGGTTGGGTGTAAACGGGACTGCCCAGTATGGGCCAATAGGCCCGCTGCAGTTTCCTCCATTCTTATGTTATGTTAACTGTCATTACCAACCTTATCATAATGATGGTCTTCAGTAACTTCTGTAGCTCTCAACTGGGGCTTAAGGAGGCCGTCATATTTTACTCTGTTCTAACCAAGGAATATTATAAGGAACTATTAGTCTTACGGGAGTAAATCAGTCCCTCGCTCCTAGAGGCAAGCCGGTGTGTCGGCTGTCTGTTTACATTGTGAGCTTCAACGATGGCCGGGCCAGGTGGCGTGCGGCCCTGGCGGTCAATATAAACACATGGCTGGCCACCGTTGTGTTGTTTATGGGGAAAACAAAGGAAATAATAGAGCAAAGGTTTATTTTTTTCTTAAGGCAGTCAAGTTCATAGTTCATGTGGATGGATCATAAGCATTGACGGAGATGTCAACCAGTCCTGTGGTTGCTTTAGCTGTTCTGCTGCTCTCCATATGAGAACTTGACATGTGTTGTTGCAGCTCTAACTGTGGGCGGAAGACTACGAATCGTTGGTCATTTGGTGGCTCCCTTTTCCTGCTGAATAATTTAAAGCTCAAGTTGTTGACAGAAGATGATTCCAGACCATCATACAAAGACGGTGAAGTGAACGGAAATAAAGTCACAGAAAAAAGTCAAATTTTTTGGCTAGGAAAGTCACAGGAAAAAATTCACATTTTATTTAAAAGCCATTAACAATTAAAGTCATAAAAGAGGTTATGTTAGGTTACTTTAGGTTAGGTCCTGTGCAGGGTTGAGTACTTGTACTTGGACACAATTTTAATGCACTTGTACTTGGACTCAAGGTCTCAAATTATTCAGTACTTATACTTGGTCTTGGACTAGCCCCAATGTGCTTGAAAATACAAGTACGGGACAGTCCCCTTCACTAGTGCGTTTGTTTACATTCGACAAAAGGAAACTCGCAATAGTAAACATACTATGGAATAAAAGTAAAACAATATTTAAAAAATATATAAATGTAATGATTTGTTGAATGTTTATATGACGAGCCCCTGTAAACGCACTAGTGAAGGGGACTGTACATTCAAATACATCTTAGGTTTTTGGTGAGTGGTGACTGATTGGGAAACAGGTCACTGAGGTGAGGTTAGGTCATCATGTTCACCTGACATGTGACTCTAATGCCCAGTCTCCCAGGCTTTTATGTGCGGTGGTGGTGTGGAGCTCGGGCGTCAGCTGGGGGAGGAGGAGAGTGGAGCCTTAACGTAATCCTCAACATTCATCTGGGCAGAATATAACCTTTAGTCTTTAACACGCTGGTCAATCTCACCAATCACATCGGCAAGCTACATGTACTTGTATAACAAGTCAAAACTCGTATAGAAGATATAGGTAGAATAATTAGTTGTAGGATTGTAAAGTGAAGAAGATTGGTAGCGTGACCGATTAGTTATTTAACTGTTAATATATTTTTAGGAGAAATCTTCTAAACACTAATTCTAAGTACAGCTATTTATCATTCAACTCAATGGCACGGACACATTAAGAGATCAATCTATCAAAGTTACTAGACACCAATACACTTCCCACCGTAAGTAATTCACCCTAAGGATCGCTGGGTTAGCTAATGACGCGGCGGTGAGAACTCTGGGTCAATGAGACCGTGACCTCTACTTTGGTCAGGTCTGGACAGCTGTGTTTGCCCTGGTGCGTGGTCATGTCGGCTATGCTTCCTAACTATTACCACCAGGGTGTGTCAGGTGAGTTTCTTGAGTAACACGGTCATAACACTGGGTTAACTCAGGTACCTTTAGGCCGTGACCTTTCCTGGGTCAGGTCTTAATCTCACTGTAGGGTGTGCCAACTTGCGTGGGTGTACACCGGCTCATCCACTTACTGTTATAAGTGCTGTTCTTCTCTGGGCTGTAAGCTGTGGTCTGATAAACAATCATTACACTTGTGAGTGACCTCAAACCTCACGTCACGAAGGGTAGGTCAATCCCACCTGGGAATTCCTCAGGTAACCAGGCAGGAAGGGTAGAGCAGTGATCCCCCCTCATCCCCACCTTTACCATCCAGCTAATCTCACCAATAGCCAGCCAAATACTGACGTGATTTTGCTGGGACCATGATAATATATTAAGAGTTTTGTTAAGTTCATCTGGATTTATAGCAAACACTTGTCTTTTAATTTCAAGGCTGATGCATTAATATCTATTATTTTCCCACCATATTCTCTCCTGGACACTCGGGCAGAAGGTTTTCTCAACCTAAAGAAGACCAGAAGCACAAAGATATCTGCGTCATCAGCTAAAATTTGTATGTAGCTCTTAGGCAGAAATTCCAGCATGTCACTCATTATTTTTATTTTCACTTTTCATAACTGCATCTTTTGCAGGAAGTATTGTGTCACTATTGTGTGTATATTCTCGGGGAATAGTGTAAGAGTTCACAAAATATTTTGAAAAGTCAATGGTAGCATTGTGCAACCCTTCAGCTTTCGCTTAACATCATACTTGATACGATTGAGTTTATCATAATTTTATCAGTAAATGTCATATTATATTAAATATTCAGTTTTAAATGTTAGATTTGTTTTCCCATTTTATTAGCTTTAATTTAATATCTTACATGACATATTTGTGGCAATGTTCAAATTTGACGTAATTCAGCCTAAGGGGGTTGGGGGGGTGCCATAAAAAAATTCTCAACAGTGCTAGGGTGGCACCCATCATTTTCATAAAGTAATAATGACCAACTATAATTTTATGGACAAAAGCCTTAGCACTCACTTTTACGGTCAGGTGCCTATTTTGGGTTTATCTAATGGACTTTAAGCCTCTTCTTTGTTTATAGAGGGAAGAAATTTAATTATTCTTTATTACAAGTGCTCGTTTCATTTTTTAAATGAGATTCATAATTTACAATTCTCAATCCGAGCCCATAATACGCGCGCCCAGATTGGCTGCACCCATACCCAGTCATTGCTTGTTCACCAATGAGAGGACAGGTAATCCGCGAGTGATCATCTGGGTGGGAGGATCTCACATGACGTCACAATATATAAGGGTTGGCAGTAGACGGATTAACAGTCTTCTTGATCCTGATCGTGGACAATCGTCAGTTAGACTCGGCAAAGAGCGGCCATGTCTCCAAGAGCATTATCTTACTTGTTCGTTGGTGCTGTAGTGTGCTGTGCCCTGTCTGTGCCCATTGACCGAGGCACAGTTGCAGAGGTTAACTTAGTCCGGCAAGAACTTCAGATTCCACTACAAGCACCACACACCGTGATGTCTCCTGTACAGTTTAATGCACGTGTTAATGTTATTCATGAAGAAGGTGAAGACTTAGTTGTTATTGCCAGGATCTCCTCTCAAGACAGCCTGGCTTTATCGACTTTACTTCAGCCGAAGGTCAATGAGAGCAACTTGGAAACAAACTGTCCAGCTACAGCCTCGATGTTGGAAACAAATGAGCAGATTGTTTACAACGTCACCCTCACTACAGACTCCAACACTTCGCCCTCCATCAAGATGACTCTTGAAGGCGTCTGTCCTGTCCCTGACCCTACAGCGATTGAAACTCGTTGGGTCAACCGGAATATCGTCTTCACAGTGTTGTCGTCAGTACTGCTTTTTGCCCTAATTGTCAGATTTCTGTTTTTCATGCATAAGAACCTACACAGACTCCCCAAATTGCCTCAAGACAAAAAATGTGACACCTGTGGTTTTCTCGGCCAGGTAGAGAGATGCACCAAGATGTAGTGACACAAGAAACTTTTTGTGCATGTTTCTCTCCCTGTTTATTCTGCGTATAGTATAGTGACTATATATCCTTCCTGCAGTGTTATGAAACAGTGAGAATGCCTAGTGTAATATTCTGCTGGCAAGTAATAACAGTGTGAGGTCCAGTTGTGGGTATAAGTTATAGTGTAGTGCATGTCAGGTGGTGTGGGGCGAGGATCGGCTGAGTCACCGACAATCTATCACTTTGAGTTCCTGCACATGGTTACGGTTATGGGCTGACACAATACTTGATTTTTAACAGTATTAAGATGTATTACTGAGGAAATTTTCCTCTTTATTATTGATATTTATTTGGTTTATTACGGTATTATGTACAATAAAATACATAAATTACATATAAATATCTGTGTAATTTCATCCTTTTCTCACATTACTTACGTCTGGTTGTCCATTGCTGGTGTAGCTGTCTGGGTGGAGCTTAGAACAGGACCTTGGTGGCATTTACCTCCGTCTACCGATCTGTCCGATCTTCCCTTCACACTCTGTTACACTAAAGCTGTGGTTGTTATGCTGAAGGAAATAACACTACTTAATTCTCTCTGCTTCCCCCTTCCTACCTTACATACACGTGAAGGAGGTACACATACACACGGGTACTTTACAACTCGTACCCAAGCATGTGGTAGCACATAAGAAAATAAGGAGTCTGCAATAGGTCGGTTGGCCTGTGCATGGCAGCTCCTGTCAAGAGTTACTACCACTCTATCATCCATGAATCTATCAAGCCTCATTATAATACTTTCCAGCGTTCCAGCACTTACTAAAAAGTTGCTAAGCTTGTTCCACTCGTCCACCACCCTATTTGTGAACCAGTTCCTTCCTATCTCCCTCCTAAACTTATCCAACTTAAATCCGTTGCTACGAGTCCTATCCTGCTCGGATATTATAAGAACTTTATCTATATCTCCTTTATTGATTCCTTTCACCCACTTAAATACTTCTATCATATCTCCCCGCACTCTTCGTCTTTCTAGGGAATGCAAGTTTAGCTTCTTTAACCTATCTAGAAAACAGTGCGTTAATGTTCGAAATAAGGCAAACAGAGTATTAGGTTTTATATCTGGAAGTGTAAGTAATAAGAGTGCAGAGGTCTTATTGCAACTATATCTTGCGTTAGTCAGGCCGCACCTCGATTATGCGGTTCAGTTCTGGTGCGCTTATTATAGAATGGATATCAATTCACTGGAGTCGGTGCAACGAAGAATGACGAAAATGATTTCGGGACTTAGAAACCTTCCATATCAAGATAGATTAATGAAACTAAACTTGCATTCCCTAGAAAGACGAAGAGTGCTGGGAGATATGATATAAGTATTTAAGTGGGTGAAAGGAATCAATAAAGGAGATGTAAATAAAGTTCTTATAATATCCAAGCAGGATAGGACTCGTAGCAACGGATTTAAGTTGGATAAGTTTAGGTTTAGGAGGGAGATAGGAAGGAACTGGTTCACAAATAGGGTGGTGGACGAG